GAAAAAATTCCCAAGTTGATTATTATGCAAAGGTATCTTCTCTTGCTCATGACTTAGTATTCTTCACTATTTTATTCTCACAGTTCCCTTTACAAAATACGTAATTTCATTGAAATTAATATGGACAACCGCGATGGTATCTTTCATATTATAAGTAACACACAATACAGTTTTATAAACGCGTATATAAAATATATGTATATCATATAATATCCTTCTATATGTATAAGGTAACTTTTCTAATACTCGTATTATGTATAACTGATTTCAGTTGATATCAGTGTCATTGTCACCACCATCGCTAATAATAATCCACTGGTTGCTAATAGGAATAACTGTATATATACATATATATATATATATATAGAAATATTTTATATTAAATTTTATATTTTTTAACAAAACGAATAGAATGGAAAAAAAAAGTAGTATGTAATTTGTTTATAGCAAGCAAACAAAAGAATTTGGAAAATATATCCAAGTACATAAATTCCATACAAAAATATTATTTGTATATATAGAAAAAAATATAAATATAAATTAATATAAATATATGTATATAGGAGTATAGAGCATATTCCAGGGATAATAATGGTTATAAAATAGAAAGTTATTTTAGAAAATTACTGAGAGATGAACAGAAAAATTAAATTTTGAAAAAAATTCCACCTTAATTTTTTATATGAATTTGGTCACATTTTTTTGTACAGAATTATGAAACCTTTATTTATGGTTTAATTTTTATTGTTTTAATGAAGTTTGTGCCGGTTCTAATTAATGATACTTGGAATTCACCTTAATGTTTTTAATTGTCGTAAAGTAAGTTATTAGAGGCATTTATTTCAAATTCAATGTCCAGACTAAAAATTTAATTACTATTCGCAAACCTTGAGCAACATAATGCATCAATGTGATTTTGAATCAAACATCAAACTAATTGAAATTTATTAAATGAATAAAAATGCATCAAACTAATTGAAATTTATTAATTCATGTTCAATTTGAGTGCAGAAATTTATATGAGATTAAAAGATATTTTATTCGCGCCCGTATCCTTTTAAATTAAAAGATACTTTGAAAAAAAACCTAATTTGACTTATCTTAATACTTTGGATTTGAGTATTTATGGGTTTTTAATTCTATTGCAAGTTTCCCAAAGCTTAAACTTAATCTTAAATTGTATACCACAACTGCATTTTTTAATTCTGCTATACTTAATTTTCTACTCTCCTATTGCTTTTTGCGACATTCTTTTGTTATTTCATATTTTTACTGTCAATATAATTTGTATACATACTATATCGTAAGTAGCTTTAATTTCGATACCTAAACGTGCATACATATGTACGTACAATTCTGTATAACCTTGCGTATATATTCAGTGTTATAAATATACGTATATGTGTAATAAAATATTATTCACGCAAATCGACGCACAGGTGAGGGTTACCAATATTATGTTATTTACTTATATATTGCTATTACTGAGCAAAATATTGTTATGTAAAAGTTCTCATTGGAATAAGCTTATTAGAATTCATATTTTGTTAATAAATGTGTATATGTGCATGTATATCCATATGTATATAAAAGTTTAAAAAGTTTTTTATATTTTCATATATTGTCCAAAATAATATTATTGTAATTAAGTTAATATATGTTAAGTAGGGCATATTCCAACCGACAGGCGACATATTCTGTTAATTCCTTATGGATTTGAAACATATTATTTTATAGGAAGGTAATTCTCCACCTTAAAATATTTTTTTGTGTTTTTTTTTTGTTTTAATATAATATATTTAAGTTCACTCATGGAATACCTTAAAAAATTAGTTTATTACATAATTATAGTGAATTAATTTAGTTTTTCTATTATTAAACCTATGTAATTATATTATGTGCATAATTATATAATATATTACGTATAAGCTATGATTAAAGTGTTCAGAATCAGGCAAATTTTCTCCTTTAATAAAATGAATATTTTTAACCTTTTTAAATATTTTTAGCTTTGATTATTCTTGATGTTATTAGAGTTAAGAAATAAGAAAATGGATTGTTAAATGTCGGATTGTTTTAAAAGTAAAATTTGGAAAATTTAAAAATTTTACAAAAATGAGTAAGAATGTAATATTAACAAAAAATTTAGAACATATCCTGTTTGATAGAGAAATTGATTCGAAGAATGATAATTTCGCATATTTTTCCTCAAACTGGCTTCCAATTTGTCCTTGTTTTGATTAAAATTTGATGAAAGTCTAAAAATTAAACGTCCGTTAATTTTTAATGGAGAAGGCCAAACAATACCCATAAAAAATAATGCAGAATATTGAAAGTCTACTCCTAGTCTTAATAATGATATTATCTTTGCTAAGACTACGGTACGAACGTAGAAAATCCAAGTTAGTGCTGTAAAATTCAATTATTCTACTACTGTTTAAATTATTTATTTTTTAAATTAATTCAATTTTCATAGAGACTATAGAATTCAAGCCAATACCAAAAAATATCAAAGTATCATGTTAAAAAAAAAATATTTTTGCTCTATTCACTGTTTAATTCTAAAAATATCCTTTTTGTTATTCTCTTATACACAACAAGAGTAATAAACAAAAAAAAAAAATAATAAATCCTTCAAAATTGAAACACTTTACGTGATTTTAAGAATTTATATTGTATAATTCAAAACCAAGGTGAAATTTAAATAGATTTTGTGAAAAGAAAACAATAATAAAAACGACATTTTTATTAAGTAATTTCAAGGTCATGAAGGATACTTACAATTTTAATGTTTTTCTTTTTATATATACTAAAATTATTTAGAAAATAATTCTATTATAATATTTTTCATGCCATAAATAAGTAATTTTAATGTTCATTTCTTTAGAAATTGTTGAAAAATTGTAACACCGGAACGTAAATAGCGTGAAATTATTTCTAGCACATTATTATATAAATTTCAACAAGTTGTAAAATATCATGGGGTCAAAAATTAAATTAAAAGTCAATTTTAAATACTAGCTATTGTTAAGGTTTAAAATTTTTATTGTATACGAATTTGTTAAGCTTGTTAAACTGATTTTGAAACAACAAGTTGCTTAGTTACATTGTTGTTTTAATTTGATTGATTTGGTGTGTACAATAAACCTGTACAATTCACACTGAATATTTTTTGAATGATTAGAGTATTCTCTTTAGTTTAACGAAAGAAAAGAATGTCTTTCGAATCGTAAGGTTTTTTAAGTTCAAGATTAGCTTCTAGTCAATAGAACGTTTCCTTCAAAAAGTTGATTTCTCTGTTTCTTTATTGAATTGAACTCTAAGAGATAATAGAAGTCTTTTTGCTTATTTCTTAATTAGCGTCAAAATTGTAAAATTAACCTGTGATAAAGGTAAAATTTCTTACCTTTGACTTGCCTACCTGCTCGAAATGAAATTCGGCCTTCACTGGGGTACTGCGGCGGGTTACAGAGTTGTTGGAGATGAACAGTGGCCGGGTTCGTGCTATTACGAATTTCTTCTCGGGCCACTGCCCAGTGAAGTATCACTTGCATAGGCTGGGGAAATCGGGCGTCCCCCTGTGCAGATTTTGTGGGGGCGATAACGAGACGGCCCTGAATATTCTTTGCTATTGACCGGCACTAGCTGTTCGGCGTCGAAATTGTTTTAGACAGGGATTCCTAGGCTAACTTGGGACGAAGATTATAGGTGCGTGCGTGGGGACGCTTACAATCAGGTAGGAATGGCTGCGGTGGCTTGCGGGGTTCGCCTACCTCACTCGATTCCCTTAAAATCTACAATCTACCTTTAACTTATCTGTTTGTTGTTAATTGCAATAGTACAGTAATTTTACATAATAAAAATGTGTTAAATAATATAATAAACGAAAATGTGAACATGATCCTTAGTTGGATCAGTACTTAATATAACAGTAAATTAAAAAGTTAATATTAATGCGGCACACCTTCCAAAAAAACTATAGTGCAAATTTTATTGCGTAACCTGTTCAGCCGAACTTCAGATACAAAACACAGATCTATGGACCAAAAGACATCTAAAATGGTTTGTGTATCACAATGTGAAAGTGTGATTAGAGTAAACACGCAACTTTAATTGCGTAAACACGCAATTAAAACTTCCAGAAACACCTAGTTACTTATGTATGGCAGTTAACTTTTTTCACACAATTCGCTATTCTTCAAAACTAACATTTTGCAATTGTTTCACTTTTTTTTTCTTATTCGTAATTAATTCATCAAATAAGGCAATTATCATACTCTCCGATATCACTACAAGGACCCTCATTCTACTATCCAATAAAAATTTTCAATACAAATTCTTAAATCAATTTTTTTCATTCATAACTTAGACTAAAATTGAAATATTGCGTTAATTTTAATAATAAATTTTAATAATAAATATAATATTAATTTATAAGCTCACTTGCTATTAGAAGGGATGATTATTTAATATTGATCAAAGGGAATGAAAAATTTTCTTATTAAAGGACAAATTTTTCCTAGAATTTTCATTTTTCACAATTTTTTTTTAATATTTTGAATTGATTTACAGCTATTTTCGACAGTAATATCTTATTTCTGCTAATTTTAATTAATTTTCTATTAAAGTAAAATTCTATTACAGCCAAATATATATAAAAAATTTAATTCACCCGGAAAAAATCAACGAAAAATTTAATTTTAATAAGAATTTTACTTTGTTGTTAAATTTATAAAATGAAAAATATTTAAGAAAATTTTTAATAATTAAAACGATTTATTTGAATTAAAATCCATAAAATCACAGCTGACTTAATAAAAATTATTTTTTTGATAGCGTTAAAATTTGTTTTAATAAAATGTGTTAAGACCTTCAAATTTTTATGTAGCTGGAGGGGGATTGTAATAATTATCCTTATTAAAAATTTATAGCTTTCTTAAAATTTATTATAAAAATGTATAATAATAATATTTTATAAAATTTGGAAATTTGATTATTACCTTCTTTCTAAATATAATCTTCAAAGTTGAATAAATATTTACTCTTATTAAATGTTCCATGTTATTACAGCTACTTTAGTCTACCCATTTGCACCTGAAGAGATCAAAAGAATTTTTTTCTTAATTATAAATTTATTATAAGTCTAAGGTGAATTTATAATATTAATAATTTTTCTTAAAAAACTTTCAATTTGAGTTTGAAAAATATATTTGTAGGGTTCAATTTTTTCACTATCTGAAAAAGTAAATACCTGCTAGTATTTATTATTCTTTTAAAAATTTAAAGCGAGAAATATAATGGTGTAATGATTTTATATAATATTTTTCCTCTTATATTTTATTCTAGGTTATTTGGACCTGCCAAAACTTTTATTCTTCCTGCGACATCAGTTACCCAAGTATACGATTTATTATGAAATATTGTAAAAAAATATTGTATAACTAATTTTTCTCGAATTTTTTAGCGTTTACTCAGATAAATAAATCAAATATTCAGTAAAACTTCCATACAAACCGAATACATAATGAACTTCTGTATTTACTGAACAAAATAAATTGTGGCGTTAGGTAAAATTCATTAATTTTGGATTTAATGAACTTCTTTGTATCACCAATAAAATATTTGAAATTAAATGGTTCGTTTTATAGAAGTTTTACTGTAGGAATTCAAACAATCAAGTTCGAATTACTTTTGAGTTGAAAGTAACTTGTTCATATAGTGAACTGTTTGTTTATGCCTCCAACTGTTATTTTTATTTTCACGAAGTTTTGTTATTGTTCTGAACTTAAAATAGTAAGAAATTTTTGTTTAATCTTTGGGTAACAATATTTTCAGGGTGATACAAATTTAAACTGAGATATGTAAAACTTAAAAAATTACTAATTTAATAAAAGAATTTATTGTTAATTACCTTTTGCAATTAATTTTACATGGTATTTTTAGCACTTTTCCAAAAAATTTTTTGAAAAAAGTGCTTATTAGTTTCACTCTGTCCGTCCGTCCGTCCGTCCGTCTGTCCGTGGACACTTTTTTTGATTACAAAACTACTACAGCCTTTAAGATAGAAAGCTGAAATTTCATACGTACATAGATCTTCACTAGAAACTTATTTCCGTAGAACAAAATTTTTACCTATCTCCCCCCCTCTAGAAGTTATACCCCCCCAAAACCCTAAAAATGGTCTTTTTTAAATATTTGTTGCAATGAAACCATAAGCATTTTTGAAATTTTGCAAACGCAGAAAGGCAGTGGCTTGCTTCCCCTAGCGCGATATACTATAGTTAAACTTTAGAAAAACAAAATGGCCGTTCAAATTTACCGTTATCTAAAGTCCTTTTTTTCCAAATTTTTGATGTCATTTTTCTTCTAGACCCCAACCTGTAGAAGATTGAAATTTTAGGAGCTTTTAGACATTAACAAATAGTTCATTTCGTTAGAAGAAAATTTTTTTCCATCTCCACCCCCTCTCAAGTTATCACCTCTTGAAATTCGTAAAATTTGAATTTTTGACTCCTTATATTTCCGAAACCGCAAGCTTTTCCAAATTTTTATAAACGTAAAAAGCTAACGGTAAATTCCATGAAATTAAAAAATATAATTATTTTTCTTAACTCACACAATTAACCCTTAAAATCGAGCATTATGTTAACCCCATTTTATATTAATTTTTGCTTTAATTCAAACATTTCATATATGCGTCATCCTAAATATATGCAATTCTAGAAATAGTTTTGTATATGAATGAAAATAATTTTAATAGTTTGATAGGTATACATAGACTGTATATAAAAGCAGAATTTTCAGTTGTTGAAGGGAAAAGTGCTACAATACAAACCATTGGTTTGACCCAACTTTATTTAAAAGTATTTTGAATGTGTTAAAAATTTTAAGAGAACGTTCAAATTTCCATAAGAAATTTGCCCCACTAATTAATTAATTACAATGCATTACTACATTTTGTATTGGTGTGTTAAGTTTCTACTTTTTGTAAGGTTTTCATAGAGTTCAAAATGTTACCAGTCAGTTCTTTGATTTTTGAATCATTCCTTAAGAAGAAGAGCTTTCTTAACTGTTAATGATAATTCTAATAATTTTAAATAATTTGGGATGTGAAAATTATTCTTTTGATTCTTGTGAACATTTCCTAATATAATATTCTTAAATAAGTTTTTTAATCAAAAATCGTAAAAATAGGGATTAAGCGGTGCATTGATCACGTCATACTTATACAATAAATTTTAAATTCCAAATTTCTTATAATTAGAATTCTTTTAGGGCACAGATGCATTTAAATATTAAATTTTTTATTTTGATCAAAATCCATTCATATATTAAATTTAATTATTAAATTACTACAAACCTTCAACTGACACGTAAATTGTGTTTATTGACGGTTTTTTCAAACTGATAAATTTATTTAGTTTTGTTTTATTAAGGTGTACGCAGGTGACATATAAATATTTAAATGACAATTTAAAAATACAAGCAAAACAAAAGAACACAAAATGCAAAAAAGTTCTTTTATAAAAATTTTCAATTTTTATTTGTAAAAATTTATTTGTAAGGTTTGAGGCTTCCTCTACTATAATTTTGCGTATTCGTCCGCAATTATTCAAGTTTGTTTCACTATTAGCCGTAAAAATTGTGTCAGTTTTATTTATTAAAATCATACCAAAAAAACAAAATAATGTCATGATTAATAAGTATTCACGTTAAATCATTTTTTGCTCAATTTTCGTTATTAGCAGTATGGAAAATACGGCGAAGCGAGGAAAGGTACAAATTATAATAGACAAAAAAAGAGGATGTTGAATTATAATGCAGAACAATAAAATGCTTGCAGGTTGTTTAATTATACTTCTGAGTTTGAAAAACAAATTAGTGCTATGAATTATTTCGTGTTAAATTGAGTTTGTTGAGAAAAGTATGAACTAGTTCAATACAGTTTGATTCATTGTAATAATTGGAGAGAAAATTACTGCGCAAACTGGGCTACAAAATTATTTGCAATTCGTTACAATTGATTTCGATGTCATTGAAAGCATTGTGAATCACCGCAAATTGGTAATCATAAACACTGTGAGTAAAGTCCTCGCTTACATAATTTTCCGAAAAAACTGTATCACCAGATTTCCCTTGACAAATCGACTCTTCCGTTTCTTAAGATGAGTTCGTAAATGCAGTATATTAGCAGATTTACCACGAGGAGAGGGTCAGTAAACTTTATTCTTAAGAATCTCTGTAAAATGACACAAGCTAATTCGATTCAGTGTGAAAGTATTTTATTAATTCAAAAGAGAAATCATGGATTATTGATAAAGAAATAATAAAATATTAGAAATTCAATTGTTTTAAAACTTGAAATGATTTAAAATTTTCCTAGTAATTTTGACACGTACACTTAAAGAGTTTAACTGGGAATTGTGTACAGGTGCACCACTAGATACTTGAATTTCCTTCTAGCTTTACGTTTCTTTTTTAGAGTTTTAAAGAAGCTTGCATTTTCAATATTTTGAAACAAATTAATCTTTTTATATTTACCGTTTAAATTTTCTATTTCAGAAACCTATAGAAATACATGTTGATTGGCAACCAGGTGAGCTGGTGATATGGATCTACTCTTTTTTCTACTTTTAATCTTTAATAAATCATTACACAATTTTTGTTATACAAATGACAGGAATGTACTTCTAAATGTTTTATTGAGGAATTAAACAGAATAAAACAAAAAAACAAGTATAGCAATAATAATTGCTAGGGTGTGTGCTTCGCAATTTCGAAAACCCTACACCTAAATGAAATAGAACATTATTATTGTTCATGCACAAAACGTATAGAATCCAAGATTATATACGAAGAAGAACTCGTAGCAGGGACCAAACATATTTAATTAGCGTATGAAATTACAAGCTTTATTTCTATACATAATATAATAGATTTAAATAATTAGAGTAAAACTTTGTAGCTTAAAAATTCAAGCAACTATATAATAAATTTCTGAATTTCATACTCTACATTCGCAATTGCCCCCTATTTTAAAATAAAAGTGAAATGCTAATCATATCACTTGTTTTTTTTTTTCGCCCGTATAGGGTTAAACAATTTATAAGTTTAAAAATTTACTAAATTTTTATCCAACATTCTCATATTTTTAAATTGTAGGGTATATATAAAAGATTTTATAAATAAATTGTCATTATATAGAATTCATGGTTTTATTGACAAGAATAAAAAAAACATTAAGAGAAATTAAATGTAATTTTTGTGTTTAATTGCCAGTCAATTTTAACTTTTCGTATTTAATTGACGCTCACAATTTATAAAATACCATATAAAAAAATGTCATATTAAAATATATTCTATGTAGGTTGGACTCTATTTTGGCCTACATTTTATTTAAACATGAAGAATAATTCAAATGCAAAGTATAACGCGATGATTATTATGAAAAACTGCAATTATTGTAACAAAAATAATTAATTTAATTTTAATTAAAAAAAATTATGAGTTTGTATTTAGAATAGACGCTCCGAATAAAAATATAATTCTAAAATATAGAACAGCTATAAAAAAATTTTGATATATAACTTTTCACTTTCAACTTCCACAATAACAGCTGTAAACTTGGACAATTATTAATAATATCACGCTCTCTGGAATCAAATATTTGAATATCTTAGTTCAACTATAAAAATTCTAACTATAACCTTGATTTATTTGAGACCCTTGCATATATTTTTAAAAACAATTTAGGTACTACAATTTTTATCTTGTTGTATAAGTGAAGAAACAATGAAGGTCTAAGATTTTTATAACAAAGCCTTTTGTGAAAAATCGTCTATTTAACATAAGTAAAAATTTCAAAATATTTTGCAATTAGTGAAAATTATTAGAAATTTTAACTTCAAAATATTGGAAAAAAAATTATGTTTTTTTAATTAACAATTAGTGGTTATGGTACCAGTCCTTTAGCCGAAGAGTCTCGTGTTCAAATCCTGGTCAGGCCAATATAAAAATTATATTCAATATTATAACTTAATATACAATACTTATAAGCTTATAAATATTTAATATGAAGAAAAAACTACGGCAGGCTAGT